CGAGACAACGATCAGGTGACGCTGCCCCACACAAACGCACGGTCCACGTCATCCGGGTGGTTTTAGACCCATCTGAGCACGGTAATGTGCACCCCTCAAGTGACGCTATGCGCTGTAGTGCCCCGGACCTCGTTCTGATCCATTTATTCCGGTTCTCTTCGTCCATCTGACATGACGACATTCTTCCCTCTTTCTGCGTCTATTGAAAGCCCTGTCGAGTGTCAGGGAGCGTGGACAATACGCCTACTTGCTTCACCCCGCGAAGAGGGATCACGCTCTCCCGCAAGCGCTCGAAACGGGCCACATTAAGGGGGCGTGTCCTGCCGCGGTTCACCGTCAAGCCCGTTCACCGAGGACTGGAGGAAACGGCGCCGCATGGCGGGTGGGACAGGAACAGCTGCAACTCAAGGGAATAAATAGCATCATGAATATTCTAGTTCTCGCCAACAGCGACTTCTCGTGCGACTCTGCCATAAGGCTGGCTGCGGACGATACGCGGAGCGCCCCTGTGATGATGCGGTCAGAGCGGTGTTACAGATGGTGTCAAGACTGCGCTGGCTGGATTAACGCGCGCGAAAAGATGTATGATACAGCTTGGCGCCCGAGCACACAATTTAAGAGCATCAGCTGGCTTCTATCCGCACCAAATGAATGTGTGCAACACAGATCTTCATATGTTCAAAGATTTACAACGGCCGCCGCGTAGCGTTTTAAGACGTGGCTAAGACGTGAGCCGGCGGTCAAGTCGTACCCTGTGGCGTCTGGCCGCACACTACGCGGGGACGCACTGCCCAAGCAGACGGACAGCCAGGGCACGGCATGACGAAATAAATCCATGGCAGGTCTTATCACTGTGCTTGTTAAACGGGACCCCTTCGTAGTGCTGCACCTCCACAGCCAGCTGAAGACGTCGTTTCATCGATGGTGCTCTTGCTACCCCGGTCCAAATGGTGGTATCATTGACAATTCATCATCACCTGAGGAACCTGGCACGACCGGGCACATCACCGATGTCGCTGGACGGCTAACAACACACGCTTAGAACGCCCCTTCGGGGGGGGGGGGGGGCACCGCTTACATTGCTGGTGTACCTGGCAGAGTGGTAGGTTCGTGACGCGCCTTCGGAAAGATCGGTTTGGTAAAAGGTGTCAAAGAAAAGCAGCCAACACCCACATACGTAATACAATAGCTTTAAAAGAATCGGAAAACACCAGTTGGTATTATTAGAGGCGCCTTAAATATCACAGAAGGCAGCGCCCGTATGTTCGTCCGCTTTGAAACCCGCACCAGCTGCGTCGAGAGCTAAAAGACTATCCGCCGTGCTGATTTTCTTCTAGAGCCGCACTTAGTAAACACGCCGGGCAGTTACAAAACTGGCTAAGTCAGGCGTCCACAATCTGTTTCCTCTTGTCTGGCTTTAAAAGAGGAGACGTAACAGCTTCTCTCCACACAGCCGTGCATTTACCTTTTATCCATGGCGGGTAAAAATGGGAGGCCAAAAAGGAGGTCCGTACACGGCGCCGGCAGACGTCTGGGTGTACTGTTGCGCACGGTATCACGGCTCTCTGACACGCGGCGAAGCTTGGCAATTGCCGACCCCAACGCCACCAAGGTGAGTGGCGCATTGTGTGCCTGCAGTTCGCTCGTGGAGAAGCTCACCACGGATGGCTTTGCATCACACCTTGGACTGTAAAACCGCGGGCTCGTGTTGTCACCTTCGCCGCGGTGTGAAAACGCCTGGACAATCTCGCTAACAACATCCGACGGGCGCGTCACAGCACTGGCCGTTCTCGGGTGGGCACAGGGAGCGGCAAAGTTCAAACTGTTCAGAAACACGCCCCCGATCGCAGGCCTGTCGGACCTGACACGAAGCCACACCTCCGAGTTTGGCGTCCATCGGCTGAGCGATCCACGTGAGCACGCCACGAGACGTGCTTCGCTTCTCTCATCATGCACTAAGCAAAAGGCCTCACTTTCCTGACGCTCTCGCTCGCTTCGAGCGTCAAACGTTTGAAGTGTTCGTTACGAGTGAGGATGGTATCCACACACGACACGAAATAGGGGTTTGGCGGGGAGCGCCAGGACTGCCTGGGCTACAGCCGTTGGCACAATACTCGGCGTGTTTGATCCTCAGCAAAAGTCGGTGCGTTCGCAAAGGTTAGTTAGAAACGATGTCTTGAGCCGAGTTTAAAGTCGCTTCAGCATGCCTCTCCCCATTCCAGCGATGTGGTGTCACGACCAACACTCCGCCCAGTTCGCATCGAAGACACAGCAATGTGGTGTCACGACCAACACTCCGCCCAGTTCGCATCGAAGCCACAGCAATGTGGTGTCACGACCAACACTCCGCCCAGTTCGCATCGAAGCCACAGCAATGTGGTGTCACGACCAACACTCCGCCCAGTTCGCATCGAAGACATAGCAATGTGGTGTCACGACCAACACTCCGCCCAGTTCGCATCGAAGCCACAGCAATGGGGTGTCACGACCAACACTCCGCCCAGTTCGCATCGAAGCCACAGCAATGTGGTGTTACGACCAACACTCCGCCTAGTTCGCATCGAAGCCACACTAAGAAGTGGCCACTTCCCATGGAGTCATCCACCACGGCCACTCGTGGTTCTACACCAGCTGGAGACTGGAAAGACTTCTACCGGGGACGTTGGACAGGTGTCAAGTGCGTAAGACTTCCTCCGCGTGTTTAAAGGGCATAATGGAACACCGTAAATAGCATTCTCACAAAGTCTTCCATAAGTGTTCACTTTATCAAGGCCGCATACTGCGCGATACACGTTAAAATCACACAGTCCATCGAAGAGTTCAACCCACTCGCCCGGAAGCACTCAGAGCTCAACTCACCCACATCCACCTAAAAAGCTCAACCTGTTCATCCAGATGCGATTAAAGAGTCCAGCTCCTTTACCCGGACCCCCTCAAATTCAATCCACTCACCCGAACCCACTCAACGAGCTGTGCCCACTCGCCCAAGGCCCGCCGCGTTCAGAGTTCCAGCCAGCCACCCGGCCGCTCTCGGAGAGGTCGGCCCACTCACCCGGACCCTCTCGAAGAGCTCGGCGACGCCGTGCAGGAAGCGGTCGAGCTGGTTGGACTCCACTGTGCCCAGCTGCGTCAGCCCGCCCGACACCTTGATGTACGAGTCAGCCACATCTGCCGGCGGGGGCAGGACGGCGTCACACGACACGGCGCGCCGGGGTGAACACACTGGGCACCTGGGGTGCTTAGGTTGTTTTTGCATCCTCCACCGCGGCTTGGCACATTTGTCTGGGCAACTTTAGCAGCGTGACGTGTCAGACTCACACACTTAAGGCTACAATGCAATGCCGGCACACCAGGCTCATAGCGTCATCATTTTTCACCACTATCAACGTCAGCACTTCCAACGTTGCAGGTCGTTTATCCCAGGCATCGAATGCAAAACTCACTCGGCAATCGCATTTCCGCTTCAGTCGCGCGTTATTCGGGCGACCTTAATAACTATAACCAGCCTCCTCGGCTACCCCTTTTCGTCCCACGCTCCAAGTGAACAAACACATACCCTTCCCGTCCCATCCATCAGACCTACTTTTGCGTGCGCGTGTCACGCGGTCAGCGCGGTGCGTGGCCTCCTTGATGTGCTCGTGGTAGACGATGACGAAACTCTTCTCGTGGTCGAAGAACTCGTCCACGTCGCGCTGCGTAGCCTGCAGTAGAAGCTCGTCGGTCGTCTTAGCGAATGACTTGACCAGGCCCTCCAAACGTTCCTTACGGTTCTTGCCTCGCACAGATAGCTGCCAGCCCGGGCAAGGTCAAGGTCAGCTTCGTCGCCACTGTTTTACGGAAGGATTTACACTGTCTTTATTACCACGAATGGCGTAATTGTTCGGGCTGTCGTTCTCGTCTTGTGCGTTAGTATGTGCACAAGGTTTCGTCTTTTGCGCTGAATTTCGCGCTCTTCCTCTTCCGGCTAGCTCAGGTGGCAGACCACTGGGCTTGCATTAATATAAACCTGGTTCAAATCCAAGCAGTTCCAAAGGGATAATTCGTGACGCGTGCATGGCTGAGGGGTTTTCATCAAGTCCCCAGGGCTCCGTACCACCTGACGACGACCGGAGAGTTAACTAGCTGAAACGTTATGTAAATACTAACACACCACACGAGGACGACAGTGCGAACAAGTCTTCCACCCGCCGTCGTTACTGCCACGGTTACCGTCACGGCCCCGGTCACGGTCACGGTCACGGCCCCGGTCACGGTCACGGTCACGGTCACGGTCAACGTCACGGTTTCTCAGTATCCGCCCCTGTCAGGGGTTCGTGTTCTGGCCGATGCTGATCGGGAGTTTCGGCGCGCACCGACGTCGGAGGTCATTTTGCGCCCCGCTGTCGGTCTGCTGTCAAACAGCGCTATATCTCGACGAGAACGGAGAAACTATAGCCGAAATTAACGTCTGCAATAAATTAAATTAACTGATTCAAGTTTGTGTAACACGGAGTCGTTTCCCAAAAGTCGCCATAAGTCGATGGCTAAGCCTGTCGCCCGAAACGACGAGATCGCTTCACCACGCAATTGAACACGAGCAGAGCACGTGACGAAGTCACCGGCGCGCTGCATCTGGGACATTGGGGTCCTTCTCATTGGGCCAAGGTCACCGGCCTGGCAATAAGCCGCGGATATGGCAATCGCATGACAACGCAAGGACACGGCCGGGCCAAATACCAGAACAGCAGACAACACTCCGGAAAAGCGCTCATTGTAATGACAGCTCTACCTTACAAGCAGCCACGAAGCTAGCGCATCTGAGCGAAAAGCGCGAGTTAAACGCACGCCTCATTGGCTGCTCGGCTTGTGTAACGATAAATTCACAACGCCGAACAACTCACGTCCTGGTCGTATTCTAAGAAGACCTTGAAGTTGTGGTCCTCCCGGAACACGGGGTGTGAAGCCAGGCGGGTCAGAAACGTCTCGTGCATGGCCACCGTCTTCTTGAAGGTGGCCAGGTACTCCCTGGGCAGACGGTAGTTAGCAAAGACGAGCTGCCTGTTGCGAGGCATGTGCTAGCGAGCTAACCAAATAAGGCCTGGATAGACTCGCATCACAAAACATGGCTGACGCAAATTTCGCCGACAAAGAACGTTGATTAGTGCAGATCATGCCTGAAAAAATCCCACGACAATTTTGCAAACGATGTCACAGCGTGCACAAACGCCACACTAAAGAGAAGAGACGCTGGTGATGGTGATGCCCTACGAAATTATTATGAAAAGTGCTGCAGAAAAGCAACAGGAGGTACAACAAATATCAAAACAGTAAAGCACACAAAAAACAGGCAACAACATCTTCTCAACACACCTGTCTGTCCATCCGACGACATCAGCTGCCACTGACCTAACACAAAATGTTTGCGCTACTGCCTTTACCTAAACGCGTCGTTTTCACGTCATGTAAGCTCCATGGAGTAACATGGATGATCGTGAGCGATACAACACACGCCTGGTAAAGCAGAGCGCATCCATCCCAAACAGCGCCTCATCGGCGGCGCGTGCTGCGCGGTGCGTCACCCACTGTTCCAACTCCTGCTTCATCTTGTTGAACTCCTCCTTGGTCATGTTGCCCTCGCCCTCGCCCAGCTTCTGCAGTTTCTCGCGGGAGGCGTCGAAGTCGGGCCGCGGCGGTGCCGGCGGTATCTGTGCCGCCACACGAGGCAGACCAGTTATCCAGCCCGTCGCCCCGTACCACGCGCGGCCAGAGCCCATCTGGACGACCCAGGGTATCACTCCGCGAGAGGATCTTCATCAACAACTGATGACGGCTCACGGCACGTGCTTACAATAGTGAAACAATATGTGCCGAGAACGATCGAGACAGCTGATCGATCAGCCACTGGCCGAGACGGGGTGTCTGCCCTGCCCGATCCGCCACTGGCCGAGACAGCGTGTCTGTCCTGAATGATCCGAAAATGGCCAAGACAGGGCGTCTGTCCTGGCTGATCCGATAGCGACCGAGACAGGGTGTCTGTCCTGACTGATCCGACAGCGACCGAGACAGGGTGTCTGTCCTGACTGATCCGACAATAGCCGAGACAGGGTGTCTGTCCTGACTGACCCGACAGTGACCGGGACAGGGTGTCTGTCCTGACTGATCCGACAATAGCCGAGACAGGGTGTCTGTCCTGACTGACCCGACAGTGACCGAGACAGGGTGTCTGTCCTGACTGATCCGACAGTGACCGAGACAGCGTGTCTGTCCTGCCTGATCCGACAATGGCCGAGACAGGGTGTCTGTCCTGCATGATCCGACAATGGCCAAGACAGGGTGTCTGTCCTGCCTGATCCGACAATGGCCGAGACAGCGTGTCTGTCCTAGCTGAGATGGCTGTTTCATGGAATTCACGGATCTTGTTGCATGACGGTTAAGTCATAGAGATTAAATTTCACTTACATCACGCAAAATGGGCTGAATCTTTGCTACTGTGTAGTAAACACCGGGACGTAACGCCATGCCAATGCTAATTTTTTATCGGTAATTTCTGTGGCGTCACCGGCTGACACCAGCAGGCGTCCGCGTCACTCACGATGAACCCCGAGTAGTCGGCGCTCTCCTCCAGCGCGCTATGCAGCCAGATGAACTCCTCGTGTTGGCGTACCACCGAGAACTCCGGCTTGGCGAACGACGACAGCGAAGTCTGCGGCAACCAACCACACGTTGGCCGGAGGGCGGAAGCCCTGAGCGTGAGCCTTGCCGTGGCAGTGGAGGCCACGGTGGCCGGAATAGAACGGAAGCGTGGCAAACGCGGAGGTAGCGTTCACATCCCATTCTGCTATCCATGCGCGCCAGCGGAGAAGAAAGCTGCCCACGTACCGCGTTACATTTCGAAACATCCAACACAGTGGTGATGATGGAGCCATGGTGGATGATTGAGTCTAACATGATGATGGAGAAGGGGTGAATGATGGAGCCTATCATGGTGGTGGAGCGGTGGTGGTATGGTGGTAGGGCGCTCGTCTCTGGACCTGTCGGTCCTGGGTTCGGGTCCCGGCCATACCACTACCGCATCCCACATGGTACCTAACAAAAACATAGCGCCTCGAAAGGACCCCGACACCTGTGGAACGTAAAGCCCCACTCCCTATTATTACCACCATGTTCATCTTTATATACAGGCAAAGTCAGACCTGCTGGCTGCGCGCGACGCTTGTCACTAACCTTAGTGTGCACGGTGAACTTGACCTTGTCTCGCTCGCTGAGGGCGTCCGATATGTCCACGTGCAGCTGACTCTCCACGCCGCCTGCATTGTCAGAACGGTCCGCCTGCGCGAATGCACGGATCGAAAGCACTTTGTGTGAAACGTCGACAACTTCGAGCCAATCTTCGTTCAACACGTACTTTAGGTCTTATGAAGCGCACCTCCTTCAATGGGTTGTCCCGGCAAAACGTAACAGGGTATGGAACGAACACAACCAACAAAATGCTAAGACTTGCCTTCAATGGGACGTCCTTCATATTATCAGTATCTTCATTAGCAGGTTCCTCCAACATCTCCAAGCAGCTTTTATCTGAAAAGCACAACACAGATAAAACGCGACTCCCCCGAGCCGCCTTGTTGAAAAGGGTATTGCGGTGCCCGAGACGTGGACGCCGACGTCTTTGATGTCCACGAAATGAAAAACACTGCACCAGGGTATTGTCCAATGTAAGAGGATATTGCCAAAGTGATAATACCATGAAGCTATATTAGCGTCAGTAACATGAGCGTGATACCGTAATAAAAAGCTGAGCATTTTTCCTCTCGCTTGTCAGTGGTCTGAACGGCGGTCAGACGACAGTCAGTACAAGACCGGACCGTCCGCCGCAGACCGACTGTCGTGCGGCGCTGGACAACGGTGGGTGACCCGTCTCGGATTCGATCAGCGGGCTGCCAGCGGCGGGTGTGGCCCATTACCCGGGGGACCATGGGACAGCTGCAGTCGGGTGTTGCCTATTACCCGGGGGCCACGGAACAGCTGCAGTCGGGTGTGGCTCATGACCCAAGGGGCACAGGACAGCTGCAGTCGGGTGTGGCCCATAACCCAAGGGGCACGGGACAGCTGCAGTCGGGAGTGGTCCATAACCCAAGGGGCACGGGACAGCTGCAGTCGGGTGTGGCCCATGACCCAAGGACTACGGGACAGCTGCAGTTGGGTGTGGCCATGATCCGGGAGCCACGGGACAGCGGCAGTCGGGTGTGGCCCATAATCCAAGGGGCACGGGACAGCTGCAGTCGGGTGTGGCCCATGAACCAAGGACTACGGGACAGCTGCAGTCGGGTGTGGCCATGATCCGGGAGCCACGGAGCAGGGGCAGCTGTTTCCCGCATGTCCAGTCTGGTGATGTAAGCACGCCGAGAGGAAACTGGCAGACGGGGCAGGCGTGCTGCAGCTATATACCACGTAAACAACATAGTGTACGCCTAACGCCGCCGTATCAGCTGAGGTCAACGGCGTTGCGCACGTTTGGCCCAGTCTGGCAACACATCAGATATCCCCACTGGGTTTCCACCATCGCGGAGTATATCCTGGCTTTCAGAGTGACAGCCAGTGTCATAAAAAGGAAGTTGCTGAGGTCCCCTCCAGCTGTCATTTAAAGCCATCAAGAGTTGGTGCATGCCCATGGCTCATAGACACACTCTAAGAGTACAACATCCCGTTTTCAGCTGTTGCTGGTGTAATGTGACAGCTGTTTGATGTTGACTTGGGAAATCACTGTGTCTCACCCAATGTTATGGGATCAACACAGCTGTTATGAACCACCTACAGAAAAAGCCATGTCAGCAGAAGTAAATTTTGATCACTACTGCCTGCTACATATGCACTAGTCTTTGCACCAATCATTGCCCTTCTGTACAACACCTTTCTTTGATGACATATGGGCTTTGTGATGACATTGGAGCTGGACAGCCCCATTTTAGCAGTCTCATTTGTTGCTATCAAAATGGCCCCCAAAATGTGAGTTAGTAGTCTTTGGGTAGGCTATACATAGAAACAAGTTGACATTTTTGATAACAGAACATCTAACTTGCACAGGTAATACACATAAGCCACTAGGAAGACAGGTTGCATTTTGATATTCCCAGGCAGCAGTAATAGCAGTGCATGGTGTTTTTACGTTATATTTGACTAAACCAAAGACCGAGAGGACCACCACATGGTGCATGTGCTCTGCCCCTTCCCACTGACTACACATCACAGAACATACATGCACACCAGAATAAAAATTATATGAATAATCAATCAAGCACACAAAACCAAATAGCACAGCAGACAAATTATAAAAACTTACTAATCCAACACTGAAGAACAAGGTGATAAAATACCTTTGATAGGATCCAGAAACAGAATGTATTCTAGCAGTGAAATGTCAACATTTCATGCTTCTGTTATTTGGTATTCGCTAGTTGATTGTAGTGAGTGGTATGAGTAAATGTTGGATGCTATGTTGTAAAATCAGGTTATGTCATGAGTCATATTGATATTCTCCCTCATTTGGAGCCCTGTAATATACAAATAGCTTGTTGCACATATAAAAACACCTAAAATATAGCCAGAAGATGCTCAATTTATCAGGAGGTGCACACACCATAAACATTGCTTGCAGAAATTCCATTGCTGGCCAAGTGAAATTTACCTTGGCATTCTGAGTTTTTCTTGCATGGTGGGATACTAATCACAGGCATATGCATATTTAGTTTTTTCTGACAGGTGTGCTTGTTTTTCAGCTCATATAGTGAGTTGACAATGCAAGTATGTGAATTTACTTGCATAATAACCCCTCACACTGATCATGGCTGGAAACTGCAAAATCTCATGCTGGCAGCCAGGATCAAACCTTAAACTTCTCTACTGTCCATGTGGGAACACTCTGTCCACAAGGGTATACCATGCTAAGCATGGCTAGGTAGGTAGGTGGTACTTATTTGGAGAGTAGTATGGTGCAGCTGCCTGATCATTTAGCACTCATTTGACATCCAGGCCATTTGAGATGCATTGATAGGACAGGGCTATGTATTATCACCATTTTCAAAGTACATTAAGCCCTCAGAAAGAAGAATCATATGGTGTTACTTCTAGTATGATATAGAAATAGTAATGTGTGCAATATTTTCATGGGATATAGCTATTTCAAGCACATTCAAACTGAGCAAAGGAGTAATATGAGAAGAAGGTGGCAGAGATAGCTGCTTCTAGCCATTATTCAACAGCACTGAAAAAGCATAGTAGCTAGAAATTTACAGAGATTCAAATTCACATTTCACATTCATTCACATTCACACAAATTCAAATTCACATTCACACTACTTTCTTCATCTCTTAAGGCTTCTGAAAGCATGCAGGCTTCCTATGCCCGCTTATTCCCAGAGTTAGGCATTTTGAATGGCTTGACAGTGCAGGAGAAGATGTTTATCATACTAGGCCAAATGTATTGTTATCCATACATTACCTACCTAGCATGGAGTACAGTAATTATTGTATACAATAACTAAAGAGGCAATTTAGAGCGCTTTATAGCTATTTGCTTTGTTCACTTTCCGTCGCAGTCTAGCAGATAGAATTTGCTCGGCACTAGCTCCAAAGAGGAGATGGCGCACGTTCGGAGAAACACCACCAAAAGCAACAGCCTGTATCATGATCTGACGACGGATCTGTCTACTGGCAATCTCCAGACCCCGTTCCCCCCCCCCCCCCCCGTGAGCTTGCACATCTTGCAGCATGAATATAACCCACATGTTACCAATGTATATTGACATTAACTGAGGCAACCTACCAAGAAAAATAAACAAACAACCAAAACCCACAACACGCGCACCCACCACCCGCCGCACTCACCCTTCTCAATTGCCTCACTCCCACAAACATTAGTTTGAGCCAAGTGCGCCGTAAATGACGTGCTGAAGATTGCAATTATTTTGGGCAAAACTATTTCACCGCCATCTCCGCAAATGTTGCGGTTCTACAGATGTTCTTAGCTATAGCTGCCTAGCTACTAAAACTAACCAATTGAAACACCAATACCAATCTGCATGTGGGCTAGCGCTTCCTTATTAGTCTTACGACATTTGACTTTGATCGCTAATTGTCCCATGGTTTCCTCAGATTAACACGGTTTCCATGCAACCGCAGATGGCTGCGACAGGCTTATATTATTTTGGAAATTAAGCTGGCACCCGTCCAGTGTGTCTAATATAATTACTCATCTTTGACCTCCGATCGAAGTTATTAATTATATAATGCCACCTTTTCACTCGAGGCTTCAATTCCATCAGACGTAAAGAACAAGGGCAGGGGTGGAACTTCGTGTTTTTTATTGGGGGCTGAACTGATGAAACCTGCCCATCCCATTTCCAAAATACATCTTTTCACGAACTGAGTCCAATTTTCTAAGAAGGGCTAGTGCCTAGGGAGGCTAATCATCTCACCATGCGGACTAGCGCAGCGAGAGCACCATCGATGGAGCGCCAACTCCAGTTGGTTGTGGATCGTGTTGAGAAGTGGGGTACCATCATCGGGTTCAGTTTTTCAGGTAGCAAGACAGCAGCCATGCATTTTTTTCGTAGCCAGCAATGCGGTGACCTGTCTATTCGTCTGTATGGGCAATGCATTCCAGCTGAGCCTATGGCTAGATACCTTGGGGTACACTTTGACCGCTTTAATACTTTGACTTACATATGAGGCACATCTTAACACGCTACGTGAACGCTGTTTTAAAACTTTGAACGTATTAAAAAGCGTTTCGCGCACATCTTATGGCGGAGATAGGAGCACGCTTTTGCTGCTGTATCGGGCAATCATGCCCCCTAAGCTGGACTATGCGTGTTTTATTGATGACAGCGCGTGTGAATCCACCAAACGCATCATCGACACCATCCATCACACTGCTTTACGTGCCATCACAGGGGTGTTCCGTACATCTCCAACCCGAAGCCTCTTGGCAGAATCGCACGAGCCGCCGTTGTCAGCGAGGAGGAAAATGCTCGGCACGCGTTATGTACTTAAGCTGAGACAGTTTCCGTGGCATCCCGCATACCACGCAGTTTTTCCGCGGCCTGCTGCGGCTTTTGTTCGTCATGCGCCTCGGGCGCATGCTGTGACCTTTGGCCCCCGGCTACAAGCCTTGCTGCGGGAAAACGAAACTATCATTCGAAGGGTGAAGCGATCAGGTCATTTGTGCACTCCTCCCTGGCATTTGTCTCGCTGCCAGATATAATGAGGTCCAGAGCGCTTGAGCGTATAGCGCTATGCGAGGGTTACACACATGCTTACACGGACTTCTGATGGTGAGGGCTGTGCGTTTGTGAGCGGTGGCGTCGTCCGGTCGTTTTCATTGTCCCCAAACGCTTCGGTGTTCACATCGGAGCTCATAGCAATTACTAAGGCACTATGTTTCATTAAAGTCGGTGACGAACCTTTACATCTTATTTTGACGGACTCACTGAGCAGTGTTCTGAGTGCGAAGTCTTTTTATCCATCATGTCCCCTTGTACAGGACATTTTAATGCGTTTGACTCAACTGGATCAGGCCGAAAAGAAAGTCATGTTATGTTGGATTCCTAGTCACGTTGGAATCGCGGGCAAAGAGTTGGCTGACACGCCTGCCAGACGAGCAGCGCTGGCTCCATGTGTTCGCCCTCTTCCTATTCCTGCTAGAGACTTTTACCCTGCAATGAAACCTTTCTGCACAACAAGTGGCAGCGTTGTTGGGATCAGATGGATGGTAACAAGCTTAGAGAGATAAAATCTAAGCTGGGTCAGTGATTCTCTTGTTTCCGCAGAATGAGGCGAGAAGAGGTGATCCTCTGCAGACTACGTATCGGGCACACGTGCACAACCCACGGCTTTATGTTGGAGTGAGCCGATAAACCTATCTGCCATCGATGTGGCGCTATCCTTACCGTTCGCCATGTCCTTGTGTCTTGTCCGAGCCTCGTGGAAGAACGCCAACGTTACTTTGGGCAGCACGACTCGCCCCTTACACTCTGTGATATGCTAGGAGACAACTCACAATTTCTTGGAGCTCAACAGATCTCTTTGTTTCTCAAACACATCAACTTTGAGACCATTTATGCCGTTCATTAGAAAGGTAAAACAAAACTCGTTATGGGCGCCAAATGACCACCGCACTCAGCGCGCCAATAACTCCGACGAACGTCAATAAACAACAATGAGTCAAATTTTCTCTGCGGTCATAATTTGGAGTAGATACAAGGAAGAAAGGCTCGCAGCTCCTATTTTTTTTGTACTATGAGCACAAGGTAATAATTTTAAGTTAACGACCTTCAGTACGCATGGAGATGCTGATGACACACCGTTGTGATGCTACAAAACGATTGTATTGACGGTTCTTTACATGACGAGCTGCGCTGATCTTCAAGAACTTACTTCTCGAGGATGGGCTCAAGACAGCACATGAACGTTTGTATTTTATAATTTTTATTCATAGACCTCTCATAGCTTCTGAAAATTCAAGATACTGATTTTACATCCTGTTTTGGTTTAAACATGAATGATGCTGGAGAAGAACCAACCAATTATTGACCACAGGACCTACCTGCCAGAGTAAACAATGCACGTGCCCACAAATGGTGCTGTTTCTAGGCCGCTCCAGAAGGCTGCTGGAAGGCAGCGATTTTAGTTGGCTGTTGGGGTCCTTCCGGAAGCATCAACCATTGCGGATAAAGAAGATATTGTATTGAATGACATGATGGCAATATCTTAGAACTGACAGTAATAATAGCCTTATTCCTCGGAGAAAATCCAGGAGAACGGAGAAATAGATTGGTTGACATTTTGGCAACATGTCTTTATCGAAACAAAAGCATAACTGAACACGAAATTGCCTGCCGATGATCCTACTCGATTTTTCAGTTTTTTTAACAGCAAGTCACAGCTTTCACAGGACACCAACTTTGCGGGGATTAAACAAAGAGCGATTGCCCGCCATTACCACGATACAGTGCATATCTAAGCATTGGAATACGCAAAAACACGTGTGCATGCAAACGAATTCAAGCAAACAGGCATCACGCATCATGCTTCATTCAAACATGCACGTGGGTTAACGCCAACAGGCTTTGCACATCGCGCATCCATTACACATGCAAGCAATTTTATTGCTGTTGCAAGAAAAAAAGCTGGTAATCGAGCAGGAGCATCGGCAGGCAATTTTGAATTCACTTCTGGTATCGTCTCGATAACGGCATGTTGCCGAAATATTAACCAATCTATTTATTTACGCTCCCGGTTTTTCTCCGAGGAATAAGGCTAGTACTATTGTCTTTTCTATGTGAATGATGATCCTCGCGAATGCAATGGACAACTTACTCCAGAACTGTCCAAATTTGATGGTCTCATCCTGCTTGTTATCGAACAATATAGACAGGGGTGTGCCCTAAGGGTGCGTGGAAGAAGGCTTGTGGCGATGCCACCCACCCCTTCGGCCACTATGAGCGACCCCCATGAGCCACACAAAAACTTCGCTTCCAAATCCCACAGAGCATATTTCCAAGAGGCACCAAATTTCAGGGACACCGCAGAGGGTCCCAAAGTTTTGCTTTCGGGAGTCACCAAAGTCCGGAAGCACTATATATTTGTCCCTTGTCTGGTTGACAAAATCCTGGATCGGTCCATTCGGCAATGGTATACTAAACCATTATTTCCGAAACCATAAGCTTTTTCAGGATGAACCCGATTCCAGATGGCGCCACGAGGGGCCGCAAACGTGGACTCTCAAGAGGCATCTCTTACCCCGAACAAATTCCTGGAACTTACGGGGAGGCGCCCCAAAACCTTTATTTTGAGGCATCATGACCTTTATTTTCAAGAGTGGCTTATGTGTGTCTCACCGTGATGAAATTTGTGATCGGTACGTTTTTTGACGTTCAGCAAAGTGGCAACAACATTTTCAATTTAGGAAGTCATACCCTTTATTTTTAAAGATACCCAATTACAGGGGGCACTTGGAATGGTCACGAAACATTTATTTTCAATAGATAACCAATTTCAGGGCAAATTGCAATACATGTGGCGCTCCATAGACGAAATCATGGATCGGCCGATTCGGGGATGGGACACCAAAACATTTATTTCGCAGAACCAAAATATTTATTTATTATAGGCATCATGTCCAACAGGGTCATTGGAGCTTCCCGAACCCCTCATTTTAGGTGACACTAAGATTTCTTTACTGTTTATTCTGCCCAAATTCTGGATCGACTCCTTCCTCAAAGAGGCGTCACAAAACGTTCAGTGTGAAGTATCATAAACAGTACTTTAGCATTCATCCGATACCACGGGCATCACAATGGATCCTAAAACGTTTGCTTTCAAGAGGA